TGAACCGCTGAACTGCTGATCTAGCAGTAGCCTGCAGTGCTGCATTTAACCACTGCGCCACCTTGGCTCTTAGTTTTAACTTTCAGTTCTCTCCCACAAACCTTTTGTGCTCCAATAAATAAATTGGAACTTTCAGCCTTGGACTCTGATTTACTTTTGGATGCTATTTGGAACCCTGACATATGTTCCTGGGCATGTGCAGTAGAAAAAAATGCACCATCCGCTGTTAAGGAAGAGCATGTTTCTAAATTTTGGCAGCTTTAAGATCTGTGGAGTTCAACTCCCAGAATTCCCCAGCCGGTCATGCCAAGAGTTCAGACTGGGAAAATGGCTATGGAAGATCTCCAGACATATTTGTTCCAAAGTGAATCTGCTCTTCCTGGAAGACCTGGGGGAGAAGACCTGATGAAGGAAACATTTCTGACATTGTGTCAACGGGGCCTTCCCAGTGCTGGCCCGTCTTCTGTGGTACAACTTGCCTCCACATTTAAGAATTATTTTCTCTTTACTCGGTTTCTGAAAAGAGGTGAAAAATTGACGGTGGAAGATGCTTTGAGGAGGCACTAAGCTTTCTTTTATGATCCACTCTCCAAAGCAGGGTGATAGACAAATATCAGTAATAAAAAATTAAAAAATAAATCAAGAGGCTACATTCGCAATAGCAAAAGCACTTAGGCTGATATACCACTTCACACTGCTTTACAGCCCTCTCTAAGGGGTTTGCAGCATCAGCCTCTTGCCCCCAACAATCTGGGTCCTCATTTTACCCACCTGGGAAGGATGGATGGTTGAGTCAACCTTGAACCTGGTGAGATTCAAACTGCCAAATTGCAGGCAGCCGGTGATCAGCAGAAGTAGCCTGCAGTACTGCACTCTAGCCACTGCGCCAGCACAGCCCACATTGTATTAATAGCCACGAGGAGAAATTGTGGATCAGATGAAAGGCTGTGTTTTACACTTGTTTGTTTATATCCCACACTTCCCTCCTGTTTTTCCTACAACCCTGTGAAATGAATTGGGCTGAGAGAGAATGGCTGGCCCAAGGTGATCCAGCTGGCTTTCATGGCTAAGGTTGGACTTCAACTCATGGTTCCTTGCTTTCTGACCTGGTGCCTTAACCACAAGACGAGACTGGTTGTCAGTTATAAATTTCATCTAATGGAAATTGAAAATATAGTAGTGGGGTAGATCTATAATGATCTGACTTTCTTTCTGAGAACTTCCTCGCTAACATTGTTCTTTTCACTGAAGAACCAACACTCTGATAGAATAAATCAGATTTTTCAGGGGCATCTTCCTAGTGCCATCTAAATAAACTTCTCCAAATCATTTCTCTGTATTAGGTTACGCTGGCCGCAAATACAGGAACAAAAGAGTTCTCCACTTCTGTGTCCCAGCCTTCCCTCTGCGATGGCCAATGGCATACAATCACAGGTGAGCCACTTTCCAACCCAAGGGATCTCACCTTTTCTTCTGCTGTCTCTTTTGGAAGGAGATATTCTTTGCGTCAGAGATTTTCCCCAAACTGTATCTATATATATAAAAGCCAAATACCACTCACTCATCATGAAATCTCCAGAACTGTAAAGCCTACAAACTTAAAATTCGGCACGTATGTTCCTCTTGGCTTCTAGGTGCTTGCTAAGAGAGAATTTTTCGAAATGACCATCAGATCATCAATATTTCTTATGCAGCATTATATTAACATGCGTCAATGCTAAGGAGTTAGACATTCTACTCTCCCTCCCCACCTGAAAGGCAGTCTGTTCCAACTGCCAGTTGTCTTATATTAACACACTCTGATGCTAAAGAGTTAGACATTTTACTCCCCCTCCCCACCTGAAAGGAACTCTGTTCCAACTGCCAGTTGCCTTATATTAACATGCTCTGATGCTACCCCTTTGCTAGACCAGGCATGGGCGTGGCCAATGTGTGACTCATTCGGCCTGTGGGCTGGGAGTTTAGACATTCTACTCCCCCTCCCCATCTGAAAAGAACTCTGTTCCAACTGCCAATTGCCTTATATTAACACGCTCTGATNACCCCTTCACCAAAATGGCCATGCATAGCTTTTAGGAGGCTTTCAGAGAACTCCTGGGGGCTGGGGAGGGCAGAAATGAGCAAAAAACGGCCTGTTTTTGCCCCCCACCCCCGCAGCAGCACTCTATAAGCTTCCTAAAGGCTATCCATGCCCATTTTTTGCTCATTTTTGCCCCCCGCCCCAGGAGCACTCTACAAGCCTCCTAAGGGCTATTCATTTTTTTGAAAACAAAGGGCCCATTTCACAGAAAACGGGCCGTTTTGGGGAGGTTTGCAGAGTGCAAAATTTTTTTAAAAATTTCCTCTTCAAAACCTTGCTATGTCTTATACTCTGGGGCGTCTTATACTCTGAAAAATACGGTATGCCATTTTTTTAGTGCTGTCATAACTTTGAACAGTCATTAAATGAATGATAGTAAGTCAAGGAGAACCTGTACTCTATTCACTGATCATCTGAACTCCAATCCAGACTTAAGAAAGCTTGAGTGACAGTCGATGCTTCTTCAACAGGTTTCATTTCTCCATGGAGTTGAGATTGAACTCCTCCAGTGGCCTGCTGTTCTACATGGCTAATGAATCCCTGGGCTCCTCCTTCTCCCTTTTTGTCTCCAACGGACGATTGGTGCTTTTGGCTGATACCCACCGACATAAACTGAGGCTCCGGACCAAAGAAAAGTACCACGATGGAAGATGGCACACGGTAAGGAAAGGGAAAATACAGTAGGCACATTTTGTTAATCTTTTCTATGTCAAATGCCTCAGTTTTCCTCTGGATTAACCCTGAGCAAAGAGTGTGTTTCTGTTGATGAACTAGCATCAGATAGGATATGGCATCGACTCCTTGGCTAAATGGTTGAATCTGTTCTGTTCTGTTCTATTCTATTCTTCTATTGCATTATATTCTATTTTCTATTCTATTCTATTTTCTATTCTATTTTATTCTAATTTTATATTCTATTTTATATTCTATTTTATATTCTATTCTTTTATTCTAATTTTATATTCTATTTTATATTCTATTTTATACTAATTTTATATTCTATTTTATATTCCATTTTCTATTCTATTTTATTCTAAATTTATATTCTATTTTCTATTTCATTCTAATTTTCTATTCTATTTTCTATTCTATTTTATTCTAATTTTATATTCTATTTTATATTCTATTTTATATTCTATTCTTTTATTCTAATTTTATATTCTATTTTATATTC